GTCATTCATGTTAATCACACAGCAATAGAGAGAAAATCTCACTGCTCTTGACTAAATCACTTTTGTAGCTTTAATAAAAATAAATATATATTTAATTTACACAGTGAAGAATATGCAGTGTTTTTATGCATTTGATTACTTTATACAATGCATGTAGTATTTTTTATTTATTTGTTCTACTGTAGTGTCCTATTGCTTATAATTAGTTTCTTATTCTTATTTAATTGCTGACTGATTACTTGTCTAAAGTGAGCTTGAGTCTGTCTGTGTGCGTGTGCGCGCTTCAGATGTGTGCGCAGAAAACTTCTCACACAGCGCTCGACTGTTCCGCAAACAATCCCGAGCGTCTTTTATGCTCACCTTGTGCCTTCGGGCAGTCTTTATATCGAATCCTGATACGTGAGTTTGAGCGAGAATGCACGCGTTGGCGGTAATGCTTAGACGGACATTAGTCTTATGTGAAAATGTGGACCGTGCCAAAATAATTTATACTATTTTTACTACAGATATCGATATTTTACGTGTGGCATCGATGCATTGTATCGTCAGACATCGTATCGATGTATCGATCCATATCGAAGAATCGTTACACCCCTAATAAATAGTGTACAGTTCACTCCCTGACAGTAGTACTTTTTTGGAAGTAATAATAATTTTTGAAAAGAGTAATGAGTATTAATTTATACATTTCTATTACTATACTGTTCTAGTTTTTGTTAATATTTTAAATGAATTAACAATACATAAAATAGATTTCCTCTTTATATTGTCTATGAAGTATTATTACATTTTATTGAATAGATTTATTAGTTCAGTGCACAATGTGCTCTTGTATATTTAATGGACAGTGTTAATAATAATAATAATAATAATAATAATAATAATAATTTTAGTTTATTTAGTTTTAGTTATTTTAGTACTTCTAGAGAAATGTTGACTTGGCAACTAGCTGAAATAAAATACAACAAAATAAAATATAAATATTTTATTTTGTTTTATTTTTCAGTGAAAGTTTGTTTTATTTCAAGTAACAAAACTTTTACTTAACTATAATGTGAACAATTAATCCATGCGAGTTTCTTTTTTAATGAGAAAATGTATTTTTTAAACAGAAATTAAAAACTTAAAATGACTAAAACTGAAATAAAAAAATAATTAAATAATTAAATTAAAATGAAAATGAAAAGTAATTAAAATATTAAAATAAAATGAATAAAAGTTAAATCACATTAAAAATTATTAATAAATACAATTAAAATGAAAACTAAAAAAGCCAAATCAAAATATTAATACAAACTATAACAGTATCTCAATGATCCTAAACGAACTCTGATACAGACATATGACGGGTGGAGGATGTTGAACTAAACGACATAAAACACCAAAACAACGTCATCATATAAAGCCGTCAGCGTTATAAGGTCAAACTAAAGCAATCAGGTCACGAAGTTTCCTCAGTTTGAGAGAGTTCTGCACGCTTCGCTCTCCTCCTCTTCCTGTTTGTTGCTGCCGTGTGTTTTGAGTTTGAGCTCCGTCAAGTTAATTCTTTGTCGTCTAGAGCTCAGATTGATTTATTTCACGAGGGCTTTATAAATATAATCCACACCTGAGAATGGCCCGAAGCTTTGATGATCTGAATAAAAACCGTCCCTCTGGTGGAGAAGCCACTAATTTCACATTCGCAGCTCTGAAGTGGAGTGAAATGGAAATCTGTGTCCAAGGAGAGATGGAGCTGGGACTTCATTTAAATAACTATTGTGCCTGCTGATGCCACCAGCTGAATTATATAATGTAATGATATCTTTACCAACTCCCGCTGCTGCATAATGAGAGTCAGCAGAAGAAAGTTTAGACAGAGATTCACTTCAGATGCAGTGCAAAAACAAATGATTCCTTTGAACTGAATCTTTAAAATGATTCGTAATGCATTCATGACTTCATGCAGTAGCATGCATACTTGGTGTAATCTGCACTAGATTTGTATGCATGTAATACCTGGATGACCTAAAACTAAAACTAAAACTATTAAAAAAATAAATAAAAATCCATTAATTGAAATAAAATAAAATATAAATGTTATATTAAAAACATCAAAAACATAATTGAAGTTGTAAACTAAACTTGAAATGAAAACAGAAAATATAAAAATAAAACCTTCTAATAAAAATATTCTATCATGTAAAAATATTTTTTCAAATATTAATAAAAACTATAGTATCGCAGTTAATAAACTTAAACTCAAAAAACTTAAAAAATTGAAAAGCAAAATTAACTTCAAGCTGAAGTACTAAAATTAATAAAACTAAATTGAAAAAATAAAGCTAAATAGAAATTACAAAAAAACTAATACAAAAGACAAAAGCACATAATAAAATTACTAAACCTTAAAATAAATTTATAATGAAAGCTAAAAACATAAAGTTAAAGTATTAATATTTTACCAAAGCACTGAAATTACTAAAAGTAAAGCTGAAATAAAAAATAAATGAGAAAGTTTACATATATTTCTACAAAAAATAAAAAAATAACAATACAAGGGACAAAAGCGCATAATAAAATTACTAAAATTTAACATTTTTTTAAAACTAAAAATATAAATACAAAAGCTAATTCAAAATATACAATAGTATATAAAATAGAAATACTTTAAAATTACAAATATAATACTAAAATAACAGTTTTGACGTAAAACTGTGGCTCATATGTTCATAAACAACACAACATGTACAAAATACGTTATATAATGCAGAAAATTAAGTAAGAAAGTTCAGTAAACTTAAATTAGTTTCAATCATTTAGAAGATTCAGTTCAAAAGAATTGTGTTTTTGCATTCATTAAAGTTTAGTAAAACAAATGATTTTATTGAAGTGAATCTTTTTAAATGATCTTTTAAATGTTTTATAGCTGATTGAGTCGTCATCTAGCAGTTATGTGTGAAACTATACTTACAAAACATTTTATAAAACATGGTTTAAAACATTGCACTGAATAATTAAACTGATATAACAACTTTTGGACTTTTAAGGACTTTAATATATAATATTTATTTTAAAATTGCAATATTGTAATCATTATAATATTGTAATCATTATATTATATTATATATTATATATTATATTATATTAAAATGCATATATTATATTATATTATATTATATTATATTATATTAAAATGCACTGAATAATTAAACCGAAATAAAAACTTAGACTTTTTGTTATAATTTTTATAATATAATTCCAATATTATAATACTTATTATTATATAATATAATAAAGTTAAAATATAGATAATTTAATAATATATAAAAAAATACAAATTAAAATTAACATTAAGTCCAGATCAAATGTTAGATATAATTTAACTGCATTTTAGGTTCCTGATGTCCTAGTTTGTGTCTGCAGAAGACGCTGGTGAGGAAAAATGGGGCCAAAAAAAAAGCAAGAATATCATTACCTAATAATTTCCATGCAGGCAATTACAGCAGCTCTTTTGCTGCGCCGCTGAGCTGAAGATAACTTTCTCTCATTAGCATGCTAATGTGCAAACAGCAGGGTGTGTTGGATCTTCAGCATTTTACGATTCACCTCATTACACATTAATGAGATTTAAAAGTGAAGGCAAAATAAAAATAACTTGTCTTTGTGAAGTCGGAGGGACACGTTTGAATCAAAGACGCTCATTAGTAGGGGTGACCCCCAAATAGTCGAAGATTCGATGCTTCGATAGGAGGAGCTCGATTCAACTATTAATCTCAAGTTATGTTGTATAAATAACGAAGCGTATTCTATACGAGATAAATGACGAGTTAAATCCCATTGATTAACCCTTTAGGCGCCAGTTTTTTTTTTTTAAATGCTGGATTTTGACAGCAAGAATATCATTACCTAATAATTTCCATGCAGGCAATTACAGCAGCTCTTTTGCTGCGCCGCTGAGCTGAAGATAACTTTCTCTCATTAGCATGCTAATGTGCAAACAGCAGGGTGTGTTGAATCTTCAGCATTTTACGATTCACCTCATTACACATTAATGAGATTTAAAAGTGAAGGCAAAATAAAAATAACTTGTCTTTGTGAAGTCGGAGGGACACGTTTGAATCGAAGACGCTCATTAGTAGGGGTGACCCCCAAATAGTCGAAGATTCGATGCTTCGATAGGAGGAGCTCGATTCAACTATTAATCTCAAAATCGAATATTCGCAGAGGTGTTAAGAAACGAGGATCATGCCATTTTGGCTATATAGGGGTGCTCAAATATCTGATTTCACATAGAACTACGGGTTTTCTCCCAATAAGTTAATATACAGCCTATTAAAATAATGCTCTAAATAAGAAGCTGAAAAGAAAGAAGCTTCAAATAAATATTTTAACGTGCGTGAATAAAAATACTCCTATAGATTTAAGTTTCACTTTCCATAATCCGTGACCGACAGAGGAGCATCTTGGCGGCAGGGATTTAAATTGACATCAAGATTTCAAAAGCTTGTGGCTTGAAAGGGCTTAAAGATAGAGATCTAATGTAAATTAGAAAAATGTTGGGCATGACCGAAAGTTTATGTGGGGTGTAAATATACTCATCTAATTTGCATATTATGACGTCATCAGGGGTCATCAATTATAGGCCCTCTTGAATGTCATATTCAGGAAATAGTAGATATTGAATTGATGTTTGAACTTATTTGCATGTTTTTGTTTTTTTGTCTTTTTATCCT